TTTTTTTTTTGGTAAATGCCTCTTTTCTCCCAGTAAATCATCTCCGCCTCATCTGGCAGGCTCTGATTTTTCACCTTCATCACCATATCTTCTGCACACCCTCAAAGTAGCTCAATTCCTCCAAGGGTGTTCAGCACTGGGACCAATACTGTAGATGTGCTTTGAGCAGACGAGAGTACACTAGATCTCTGTTAGCTCCACTTTTCTATTACCATATGTTCTTATCAGGCTTTGCTATTTTCAGACTTTCTTGAAATCTCATATAAACTATTTCAATCAGCCTGAATGTCCTACTTCTGTCAGTGAAGCTTAAATTTCTGGAGATCATTCTGGAAGTTGGCTCACACTGATATCTGACATTGGGTTTGTTCCCAGGGATGTTTCCCAACTGTAGAACTAAGTCTCCTTTATCTTAATTATGGGTATATTTTCCCCCCTAGGTTCTGAAACTTTCTTTGTGTTTTTTGTCTTCAAGTGGAAGATAAAACTGTTTTTTGTTTTTTGTTTTTTTTCAAAAAGATGACCAGTAAGGGGATCTTAACCCTTGACTTGGTGTTGTCAGCACCACGCTCTCCCAAGTGAGCCAACCGGCCATCCCTATATAGGGGTCCAAACCTGTGGCCTTGGTGTTATCAGCACCGCACTCTCCCAAGTGAGCCATGGGCCAGCCCCAAGATAAAATTGTTTAAGGAGACAAAGGTCAAGGACAGAACCCTGAGGCATGCCAATAAAGATTTGCTTTCCAGGTGCCACAGATTTATTTATCTTTCATCAACACTGTTTAGGTACAGTCCTTCAAATTGCTATGAATTGGCCTAAGTACTTTATTAGTTATATCACGCTTATCCATCTGCTTCATAACAGTACCTCAGTACACTTAGATGTCTTGCTGAGAACCTGCTAGACTAGGAATGAGAAGCCATTGGTTCTAGATCCAGCTTGACTTCTTTAGCTGTGCAATTTCAGACAAGTTACCTAATCTTTCTGAGCCTGTTTCCTCAACTGAAAATTACATATAATACCACCTGCACATCTTACAGGGTATTTTAAGTATGAAAACAGTCATGTGAAAATGCTTTCCAAAAATATCATACCAAGATATTTATCACAATTTTTATAATGCAAAAAAAAAAAAAAAAATGACATTAACGACGAATAGAACGACCCACATTGATTCTGCAGCCAGAATTCTGCTTTTGGGGAGTTCCTATGCCACTTGCGCTTTATTTATTCATTGATTTTTCAAGATTTTGTCTAATCTTTCCCTAAATAAAGGGAGGTGCTGGGGATAAAACTCAAGACACATTTGTGGCATAGACTAGCTTTAAGTGACAAGTCAAATGGATGGAAATGGGGCCTGATGGGGACAGCAGAGAATTTTCATGCCCTTTCCCCCAGTGACATAAACCTCAGAGCTGTCTCTGAAAGGCTGAGCCAGAGATGCTGCTGCAGTTGTGTCATCTAAAGTGATGTCTCTACTCAGTCAAGCCACTGTGCCATTTGCTTTGTCAGGTTAAGTGACTGGGAGAACCAGGTAGGAAAATAAAGTGTTTGCTAAAGTTGATGAATGTGAACCTTCAAACTCTACTTCAAATGCAACAGTTATATAGGTTGTGCATTGCCTTCCTGGAACCTCTTTCTGAGCTCACCTGCAGTGTTTGAGACAGAGGGACTTACCTGAACATGAACCTCAACTTTGGTTGGGATCCTACTCTGACTGCAGGTCTCTTCCCCTACTCAGTAATTTGGTGTCCATAGGTGATGCCTATGCAGCCCCGAGTTCCAGCTGGGTGGGAGGGCATGCCTCATGGAGCCAACGACTGACACTTTGCTTCTATCTGAGCCCTCAGAAACCAGGTTTTGAGCTTGAGGAATCAATCACAATTCAATAGAGTACTTAAAGGTCAGGGGCTGTGATCTTTGCTTGACAACAGCCCTAACCACTGAGCTCTAGATACTTCCCTTTCCCCCTTATCTGTCTTCTTTCTTAAGGGCCCTGGCCCTGCCAAATAGCCAGACGTTTTTCCCTGTGTTTGGAACCTACTTTCTGGTTCCTAGAATGTGTGTGAGGGAGGAAAGACAGATACTGTTTAAAGCAAGCAGAACAAGAACAGAATTAGAACACATTTATGCCTTACTTTAAAACTTTTTCCCAAATTGCTCTGAAATGGAAAAAGAATACAGAACAGTTCCAATTCAACCAAAGTACAGTCAGAATTCCTAACGTGACACAGGAAAGTGTATTCATGTAACTCCTCTGTCTCTAGATGGCACAGGAAACATAGTGACATCCTTGCTGTTTTTAAACTTGAACAACTCAAGTTGTTGGTACAAAAGGAAAACACTTAAAAGCAAGCTTTCTTCTCACAGCTAACATAAACCTCAAGCCAGCAAGCCCATTTCATCCTCTTCACATAATGTATATATGCTAGTATAGCTAGGATACATTTGTTTTAAATGCAGTTATGGGATGTTTTGGCCGTTTCTATAATCTATTAAAAATGCATTTAAGAACATAATAAAGAACTTGTATTTTTGCACTGGTTCTTAATTTTATGATAGACAAAGTGCCAATTTATGAAATTCAATAAAAACCTTCCTTTTTGGCCAAATTTTAGCAGTTGTTTTAACTTCTTCCACTTAAGCTTTTTTGAATCCTTTCCTGGTCCCACCCTCTCAAGGGTAGGGAGAGGAAGCAGGGGGCCTGAAATAGCTAAAAATATAGAGGAAGTAGAGATCATCAGCAGCTATATATTCTGATAATTGAAAACTGACTTGGGATAAGTCCCCCCCGCCCCCCTTCATTTCTTGAATTGTGTAATAACATCTCTGTGGACTATGTTCAATACCAAGAAAAAAAAAGAATCAGCATTTAAGTTGAAATACGAGTTTGGTATAAAAAAATTTAAACTGCTTTCCTCATCTACCAAAATCCAGTTAAGTAAAATTTAGGACATGCAATTTACCACCTCAAATGAAATGAATACACATTGTCTCCAATTTATGTATGTTGTGTTCTGAAGTACAACTGGAAATTAAAATGTCCTTCCTCCAGGGCCGGCCCATGGCTCACTCGGGAGAATGTGGTGCTGATAACACTAAGGCCACGGGTTCTGATCCCATATAGGGATGGCCGGTTTGCTCACTGGGTGAGCATGGTGCGGGGAGAATGTGGTGCTGATAACACTAAGGCCACGGGTTCTGATCCCATATAGGGATGGCCGGTTAGCTCACTGGGTGAGCATGGTGCTGACAACACCAAGCCAAGGGTTAAGAACCCCTTTCCGGTCATCTTTTTTTTTTTTTTTTTTTTT